TAAACATATGTGATGCTTTATGTATTCATATTCCACCATAATCAACATAGCATAAGTAGAAATGTTTTTGAAACTGGAACGTCACTTAACGAGTTTAATCCGTTCCGACACGGCGAGCGTCATGTGAAACGCTCGACTTTCGAAACGTAGCCAGTCAAAATGTATCAGTTCAGTGATTGACTTCAGGTGGGCCTGGGAGAATGACTCAGCGGCGGATACAGGCACACGCACGCACTGACAATGCGTTAATCGAGCGTAAGCTTCTCAAGCGAAACACATTTTCTACTAGTGGCTCGCTCGTTACCTAAAATGCTCGTAGATGGGGCGGCTCGTCACCCGAGGGTCCATTGTATAACTGTTGCAGAGGTAAGTTTCCTATCGAATAAGTAAAGAAATAATATTTTGGTATATATTTTCTAAAAAGCATTATCAGCGTTATAAGAGCATCGGAATTTAGTCTTTTTTCTGCGTATTGGTTGTGCAACCAACGTAAAAGCCTACCAGCCGAAAGCCAACATCCTGGCAGCTCTGGGACACATTTAGTTTATGTTGCATATAGTTAATACTATTAACCCCACTTAATTAATAACACCTGTAGGGATGACTTATATGGGAAATGAGGTGAGATATCCGGAATGCTGACGTTCGAATGCTGACGTTTCCGTGTGTGCCGGACGTTAGATTGGTCAGCTCAAGGGCAAAGTTGGGTATACTTAATAATAGGGACCTATGAATGACAAGGGACACTAGCAGGACGCGTATGTGTTAGGTCCAGGTGTTAACTTGGCCGGGTCTGAGGGTCTGTGTCCGAGGGATACCCATGCGTTTGCGGAGGACTCATAAGTTAGCACGGTTTTCACAGCCGTCGCCTGGCAAGGTGGCGGAAAAAGGAGACGCAGGAGCGACTGCCACCAATCCCCCCTCATCCGGACGTGAAGCTCAGGCCAAAACAACCACACAGAATCCAAGATAGTCGCACGGACACTATCCCAGAATGAACTCCTGCGAAGTAGAAATTGAGCTGTTAGACAGAAGAACGCCAACGGAAACTCACCTTTCCAACCCCCACATCGAGGGACTTACTCACAGCACACGTAGCCAGACTGTTCGACAAACACCCTTCACAGAGTCGAAGGAAGAGAAAATCGCTCAGTCGTCAGTCGGCAAACGGGCCATGGCGCGCCAATTCTGCCCGATTATCTGATTTATACGCTTAGGCAATTCTCCAAACCTCCGAAGCTCTCCGAACCGTCAGAATCTCAATAAAACTGTTCCGGAGTACTCGTCTTGAGTGTCAGATTATCAACTCGGGTCACTCACCTTCCTCAATCTGATTACTTATATGGTCCCCTAAACAGGTCATTAAAAGCGGAAAACTCCGAAAAAAATGATGTCTTTACGCTGAATTCCAGGTAAAATAATGTCATACTTATGGTTATGTTCACGTTTGAAGTAAGGTTTAAAGTAAGGGTTAAGTTATAACTGTAGGAAATAATGTTTAACGCTATAGTTTAAGTTAAGGGTTATTGTTTATTGTAGAGGTATGGCTTACGATAGGATTAGGGTTAAGATTAGAAATATATTCTAACTTTACGCTAGGGCTTGTTTGGGGGGCAGAACACTGTAATCGTTTACCGTTTTCTGAATAATGCGCAGGGCTAACTTTAATACTAGGCCAGCCCGGTCTCATTCCCGATTCCCCTAAAGGGGGCTACATGATATATTGACCATCCTTCCTGATCCAAAATTTGCAAAAATAGCTTAAGTAGTGCACCATATGTACCCCTAGCCCTAGCATTTTGTCTTACGAAAAAGGTGCTCATAGGGTTTATAGGTGGGAAATTAAAGTAGGCCCTGGGATATACTTTACTAAGCTATATGCATTTTTATTCTATTCTTTTTAGAATTGTTGTCGACTTATATCTATGGACTTACCTAATTTGTATTATCGTTTAACACATTTTGGAAAAAGCCGATTATCAATATGCAGGTTTCTCGAAATTCGTAAAAAAATAGAAGTGATGGTTAGGAGGTCATCTACTTCAACTTATCTGAAGTCCAATTTACCGTTCTATTGTTATATTAGTATAGTCTGCGGCGCGAGGCGCTACGTACACTCTCAATTTACATGTGGAATAATTTACTCCCAGCGGCCGTAGGAAAAAAAATTCAACTATATTTTTCTACTTTCTACTTAATTCTTAAAATGTCCTTCATTGCCCCTCCTATTTCCCCAACCAACCCCTATAACCATCGTTTCAGTAGGACAAACTGCTAGGACTATGCTTATATGAGGTTCACTACTTAAACTACCTTTGCCCAAAACGCGTTTCAGAATTGCAGAAAACATTTTATCATAACGGTTACTGAATGCACAGGTATATAGGGACACCATTCAGCGCGGACGCTCACCGCCGCTAAAGAGTGCGCCTGCACTAGCGTCTGTCTACGTCAGTCTGGGTGATCACAGTCAAGAGTGACTCAAATAAAGATCGCTCTCTGTGGACGCTGAGACGACTAAAAGGCTGACATTTGGAAACTTGCTTCTCGAGGCTGGTCGTGTATTAGTCTGACAATCAACTTTCTCCTACCTATTTTCCACTTCCTTCTGTACATAATAAACTTTTCCTACCATATGGCGTCTACTTATTCTCTTCCCATAAGGAACATGGTCTGAAGGTCGCAGCGGCAGGAGTTTTCCTATTAACTTAAACCAAAACGATAGATACACGTGTTCCATCTATATTCGGCTGCTCCATGCCACATACGGGAAGAGGTTGCTGCCTATCGATGGTTTTCCGTTAGATTTCTTGTCGATAAACATTTTTGAAATCGATTAATTTTAATCGCCTCACTTGCATATGCGATATGTAGGCAGTTTTTATTAATTTAGCTTTGCCTTGGCTTTGTTTTGTAGCATTCAGAACTTGGAAATAAGACAGAGTCTCCTAGCTCGACTACGAAGATACTGCCGTCCACACCATAATCGGGCAGTCCTCCTTGAACGTAAGTAGCCCTCTGACGATGGCACACTTCATAGCACTGCCTTCAAACTGTTATCCTTATTAATATATGTTACACACGTATCGGGGAAGACTGTGATAAGTCTTTCTAACTTGTTCGCAGTCGTTCTTTAAGAAAAAAATTAGACTAGATTTTTAATCACATAATACTACTGTCCCAGCGATTAAATCTAATTATTCTCAATTAATTACTGGATATTGCATGTTCCCTTGTATTGGCAAATTATTTGGACAGCATACGCTCCAATCGGCCCGACGGTGGGAGAAGTTTACCTTTCGTGAGATCTCAACCTATGCGCAGATGCGGTTTCTGCATAAGTGTCTTGACAATAACGTGTTGCCGAAGTGTGTTACATACTAACCTCGGTAAACATGGAGCTGGTGAGACTCGCAATGTTTCAGCACGGCAAAAGAATGA